AAAAAGCCACTGAAAATACTCGGCGATTATTTTTCAGCCATTTGATCTGCTTCAGTATTGCATTGTTCAGTGATGTGTTTCACAAGACACGAAATTTCCTGTGGCGTTAATCCACTATTTAAATTCAAAAGTTGTACAGTACTCACCAGGTACAGCCATCAGAACAAGAACAGTCAGGGTGAACAGCAAACGATTCATTTTTGAAGCTCCTATCTTTGGTTGAAGTTTAACTATTCGTGTTATACAGAGAATTATAATGTAGTGCCACGCCAAATTCATGCACAGGGGGACGTAAGTAAAAGAAGAGACGTAAGTAAAACAGGGACCGGATGTCCGAAAATGAAAAAAAACATGCCTATTTAAGGGCATAGGCTAAAATATGGACTAGACAAGACTATTTTTTGGACCATTTTTTGGGCCATTCTTTTGGACCATGTTTTCGGATCATATTTTCTGGAGCATTTTATAAGGGGGAGCACACCATTAGTACTCAGGGAGGGGTGGGTGCAGTCTGTAAGTACTGAGGAAGGGGTGGGAGTCAGAGTGTCATAACTCAAGGAGGGGTAGGAGGTGGTTGTAATTGTAAACACTACTGGTTAATGGAGCGTTAACTCGATCGTACAAGTTATTTTAATTGGTCCTAAACCGGGTTGCTATAATGATGGAATACGAGCGTTTTGATTTCCTGCCATTCGGTATTCGAATTATTGCATTTCCTCGATAGTAGACAAGCAGGCGAAACCTTTAAACATTTATTACCACTTTTTCCCAAGGCAGCGATTGATATCGCCGTGGGACTTGAATCTTTGCATTCAAGGAATGTGGTGCGCCGCGACACCAGGGAATGTTTCTTTCAGGAACCACATATGGTTTTGTCCCGCGCTCAACGTTGGACATGTGCGCGTGAACCAAGGTTCTCTTCGAAATGTCGAAAACAAATTTTCGAGGTTTGCGTTAGTCGAGGTCTGCGTTTTCGAGGTCTGCGGTCTGTGATCTGCGTTTTCGAGGTCTGTTTTTTCGAGATACCCGAGAGAAGGTTGCTTTGTACGATTTTACCAACAATGATTTTATATAGTAAACGTATAAACGTTAAAATTGCGATAGCGCTTGTGAATTCTATATGCTGCTAAGTCAAGGGTCAAGGACCAGAAATTTCGTGATCTCGTCTGGTAACATCAGTGACAAAGGAAGACAGATAAATTTGGTAATCAGCACAAGTCGACTCAAAAGGCACACGCATAACTCAACCGTGGAAGATCGCAAACGCGATATTTCAATAAAAATTAGAGTCCAGTATTAACGTGGCAGTTTCGCTTTCGCATGACAAAAAAATTAGAGAATCGCTGCGGCCCACCGCAAAAATTTTGATATACAAAAAGTTAGTCGAAAAACCGATTAATATGATTTGCACGATCGAGTAAAAGCACTATTAACCAGTAGTGTTTACAATTACAACCACATCTCACCCTCCCTGAGTAATAACACTATCGCCTCCCGGTTAACTCAATGGATAGAGCGCTAGACTGTTGTGCGGGAGGTCGAGGNCAGAAGTCCAGGAACATGATTGCAGCAGAAGCAAAAGTGGATTTTTCGGATGCAGCTGGCTTCCGCAGACCCATCAAGTTTAACTGTATCTCATGTAGTAGACCTGTGGAACTTCCTCTCAGGGGACCCCTCCAGGCCAACCTGCCAGCCCCCAGGGGGGTTCGGACGAAAAGGTCCAAGGGCCCATATCTGTCATACGAAATGGATCAGGTAAGGATTGCTGTTTCTTCTTAAGGAACCCTTAATTGGTTCGTTCCACTAAACGCAACCAAGGTTTGAGGAGTCCTGCTAGATTAAACGAATTGCACCGAAGTTTCAGTTACCCTTTATACCACAGAATGTAGTATTTCGCTTTCTGGTGCCTAGATCTTAGAAACAATGACAGTTACGATGAATTTTTCCTTGCATGATTTATATTTTCTTTTAAAAACAATTCAGTTCTCGGCGCGTACATGCACTTACACCTCCCCTAACCCAACAACAGTCAACTAATAACGTTGTGTTAGGGGGGGGGGGTTAGGAGAGGGGTGGGTGCGCAGTTGCTCAGATACCGACATTGATCCAAAATTTTTATTCTAGTTTTTCTTTCTTTAAAAAGAAACAAAACAAAAAAAAAAAACAGAAAAACAAAACAAAAAAATTGTTTTTCTTTCTCTGAGTGTAAAACCCCTTGTTTGGCTGTGCATAGATTCGTCAGTATCAACGCGGTCACTACAGCGGTGGGAAAGCTGAGAGAACATTGAACGACATCATTTCCGGTCGACCATGCGGCGGAAGCCATACAGTGATGTATCTACCAAAGAGACGGACCAAACCTACACAGCTGAATCAAGTGTTGGGAGGTTTGTTCTCTGTGATCTGTGGATGGCACTAACGGAATCTGTTTTATCATTCGGAAAGCGGGGCAACAAATAACGTTAACAAACATAAGTTCACCCTCAGACGTGCCTTTCGTTTGGAGCGTTTGAAATGTTCCGGTCAGAAAGAACTAGCTAGGGTTTCCACTTAGATGAAAGAAAGGGTATTCTGCTGTTATTATGATTGTAAACAGGTTTACAATCTTTGCTAACAAGACGTCGTTGAAACCGCAATGGATTAACATTTAAAACCCTTTTTCACCGTTCCAGGAATCTCAATGTGCAATGCAGATATTGATATACCGGTATTTGGGCAGTTTGTCTCTTTATTTAGCTATTTTGCGTTGTCCCACACTTTACTCAGAACTTTTTATTTCTATTGAGTATGACGTGGTCACAAAATGAAACCCTTTTGTTTTTCCAATTGTTAGGGCGTGACGATAATCCAGGTTTCCCAAACTGGGGGAGAGAAAAATCTGTTATTGACTTACTGAAAGGATCTGATGGACATGTTTATAAAGGACGGTTTAAACAGGTATGTCATAGAGGGGCACTTCGACCCTCTAAAACCTCGAGGAAATTTATTAACGTTGTATGTTTTCATTCGTAGACTATCCCACCCATTGGCAAGAATTCCACCTCTCCCCTGCATGAACATGAAGTGACATCCCTTGGTAAGGAGGAGTCACTGGTGACGTCATCACGCTCCAACTCGGGTCCCAACTCTCCGCGTAACGTAGTTGTAGGGCAGGTAAGCCAAACACACTGCAGCGAACTGAATATCAGACCAAGGGTATCCGCTTAGGGCTTCTGAAACACAGAGGCTCTGTTGTAGACATCCATATCTAGCTTTGAATTAGCTTCCTATTAACTGTTGTTATCGCTTTTATCTCCCAAGCGTAAATTAAATGTGGGGATTTTGTCCGGTAAGCCTACACACACATTTCACAAAGTCACCTGTTCGGTGTTTGGTTTAGTGTTAACGCAGACCTCAAATATTTTCAGCAAAAATTCTAAGTGTCTTTGTTCTTAACAGCCAACAGAGGAATCCCCCAGGGAACAAAAGGGTAGTCCGCGAGAAGCACAGCCGGGGAATCAGTCACGGAACACTTCACCGAGAACTCGAATGAGACACATTGTCAAACGGCACGGCTCTGGCTCACCACCCGCTCCAGTGCCTTCACCTTCTCCCCCGACCGTGCGAGAGACTGAGGCACAGAAAGCTTCACAGAAACAGGAAAGACAAGGAGAGGTAATTTTCACTGGCTGATCCTGCACAAACTGCAGATATTATCTGATGTCTTTTTCTATGGTTTGTTTTCATTCTTTGAAAATTTTCGTTCAGATTTGAATCTGAAATCTCACTAGTTACGACGTAATTTGGGTACTTACATCACATTGCTGGGCATATTTCCTGGCAACTAGACAGTCCATTCCTTGAAAGCTTTTTTAAGCATGTAACGTTTTCGTTAGTATCTGAATTAGAACGACTTTCGTTCGATGTCATAGCTAATTAAGGTCAATTCCTTGATTTGAATTAACATTATAAAGCATGCGATTGATATGATGATGTTGTTGTGCTCCTTGTAGCTTGTTGTCCTGCAGTAAAGACTTAAAAGGAATTCCTGTATCGCCTAGAATAAGGTGTGCTCATAGTCACATTTTCTCATTCATACACCACAGGACGCCCAGTCAAAGTTATTTACGCCAGCTGCTCCAAGGCCGTCCCCTGACGTAGCCGGAGGAAACGATGAAGTAGATCCGCGCGGAACCGAGAACGTTACGGTAGGATTCAGCGATGACGTAAAGTAAACATCTTTTTTTTTGTATTAATGAGATTATATATCTTACTATTCTTCAGGAACCTCAGATGCTGCCTCCACGCTCAGAACATAAAGATGGATTCACAACAACAACGAGTAACTGACTGAAACTTAGAGGAGACCATAAGAGAGATTGAAATTGTTTTACTTGACATTTACATTGTACATTACATAGTCTTATCAAAGTTGTACATAGTTTAAGTTACTACAACATACACTATAGGAGAAACCCCAATACACTCTGTCGTCCCCAGCTAATTCGAAATGTAGTAGGTAAAGACTGAATGGCTGAAAGCGAATCGTTGTCCATTTTCCTCCATAAGACTGTGACAGGCCTGTCATTGTGTTAGCTATTTTTCCTAATTTTGGGGTCTTGACACTCACCTGGCCATCGGTTTTTCAAATGTCAACTCTGAAAAGTAGACTACCATTTCTTAAGGTCGTGCTGAGATTGCTTTCCCTCAGACCTTTAGCCGTGATTCCTGAAAAGATATTATAGGATTTTTCTGATATACACAGTATTCTGGAGTTATTGATTGATTAAACAGTGCAGTTAGGAAAGTTATCCGGAAGACATAGATATTTTATCAATATGACAGAAGTTATTTTACTCTAGAGTTGTTCATAATCGGTGACTAGATTTACACAAGGTTCATACCAAGATTAGTATTCTACAATAGTATGGGAATTTTTTAACTAGCTCTCAATACTGAGAAAAAATTATGGGACATGAGGTAAAAGTTTTGGAAAAATGGATAAAAAAAACCCTTAACAAATGCTTTTCTACTCGGGCCGCTCGGGTCACGTAATTTTATTGATAAACCCGAGTTTGGAAAATGAAAATGTTACGGACTATGTTTAGGAAAAGATATTGAATTTTCTTTAGAAAACGTACACAAACCCTGGACAAATTTCTGATGAGTATTAATTGAAAAGTTGATTGGGAAGGACGTTACATAGGCCGCTGTTCAGGAACCGGAGCCCGCAGCAGAGCAGAGGGTTGGACTCGGGCAGCATCATCCGTCCCCGTTCCCCCCTTCCCCTCTCCTTAAATTTCCCCCTGGTTTTATTTCAAGGCAATCTGATGCTATCGTGCAGCTGGTCACCGACTGCAACCCTGGTACAAATTAAATCATACATTAACAATCATGTAAATACGATAGAAATTATTTATCATTCGCATTATTGGTACTTCGACTTTGAAGGCCTACCCGTTTGATTTATCTTAGAGATTACTCATATTATCTTAAAATGATGGTCTTAATCATCATGAGAGTGTTATTTATTATCGGGTAGTCATCCCCTTTTGAGGGAAGGATTGAGTAGTTTTTTTCCTTATTTCACGAAAGAATAGGTAAATAGAAAGTATAATTGGCCATGTTACAGGAGGAAAGGAGTTTCTTGACCTAATTATAAATAGATGAGTACTGTTGAAAATCGTGCGAAACCCTCGGCGCAAGATGTAAATTTGGTTTTGAAAATGTTGTGTAAACTCCAACTTGTAACTTTGGCTAATAAAGATGTGTTGATATGCAGCGCTTGGGTGCTTCAAATCTCTTCAATTTCTTCTAAATAATTTATTGCAAAGCGGTTAATGTGTATGTTTGAATTAAAACTTACCGAAGCAAACCAAGAATTTCCTTACGTGCAATTATAGCGGGGCTACCACGCCCCATACCCATAGAATAAGGTCAACCTCTTTTCGTTTGGTTGTCACGTGACTGACCGTACGTACGTACGTACGTGCCTTCAGATTGCACGGGTAGGGTAGGGGAGACTATCAAAACGAAGGGAGGCGTGTCTCAGGCGAGTCTTGGGAGCGCCGCTTTTAGGCTTGGCTAAATCTATATATAAGCCGTGACAACCTCTTTCCCAGATTGAGGGCGACAGGAAAGGAGTCACCCTGGGAACGAGTTTGTCTCGTTGTCAACACAATGACAACCCTTGTCGAAAGTGTCTTTCCGAGAAACTCTTCTTGAAGATTCTGAGAAGTTCCTTCTTTCCACATGCTCCAGTTCCCCAGAATCTCAGGCAATGACGTCAGGCGACGACGTCAAGTGAAACGATTTGACTCTGAGAAGGAGGAAGTTTCTCCGTCACTCAAGTCAGACAGTCCCCACAAACGCCATGGCGGAAGCAAGTTCGAGTTCTCCCGCTAAACCAGAGAAAATAGCTCTGGATCTTGGCCATTTCCATAAATACGAGTCTATACGTATCGAGTGGACCAAACACTTCGAGAACAATTGTTTTGATGAAGCTCATATTGTGAAAGGTTTCTTCAAAACTTTCCACCGTACTCACAAAGGATTCCAGTTTGTAGTAGCAGAGCTCTTTGACGGTACGACTCATCTTGTGGTTCGTGCTGATGACTACCAAGGGATCAAAGAAGAATTGGAGCGGAGAACGAAGAAAAATCTGCCTAAAGTTAGCCATGTCTCGGGCGTGAAGATTAAGGAAGAAAGAAAGTCTTTCCCAGACTTTGAGTCACACCGAGAGTTTTCCATGTCCCTTAAAAGTGAGAATGATAAAATAAGACAAAGGTATGTACTGTTAAATCGAATACCTACCTTGAATATACGCTATCGAACCTTAATTTCATGAATTCACATTGCAGCGTAAAATTATTGCATAAATTATCTTTTCAAGTTTAATATTAGATCGTGTACTCCTTCATTTTTAATGGTAAATCGGGCTCAGTGGTCTGTCCAATTACTTGGAACTTTTATGGCTCTTATGGTATAAATCGCACAGCCTTTCTGTCCCGATATTTTCTTTATTGACCTTCACCGAAAAAACATTTTCATTTGTTTACATTTCTAAATCAATTTCACCTGTGCCTTTCTAAGAAAACCGCTCTGGAAACTCTGCTAGCTTTTCCGGGAAAAAGCAAGAAATTTAATGAGCCACCTTGTTCAAGTCACGCAATTTCCGTCACCTCCTTGGCCGAAATTTCATACCCAAAAAAACGAACCATTCGTAACTGGTTCTTGAAAAGACCGATGAACGAAATATGTTTTCAGCGAGAGCGAAATTTTAATCGTAGATCAAATTCACGTCCCGGCAAGTCGCGGCACGATTCAGTGAGTTTCTGAGAAACTAGCCGGAAGTGAATTTTAATTGATTCCCTTCAACAATTTGACTGAGTTTTTCAGAAGATACATGTTTAAGAATATTTAAGTTTTGAATAGCATTTAAAGTGTGATGGTTTTCATCCAAAGGCTCGTGTTTTCTAGTCGGTGACTGTGAATATAATGTTAATTATTCAATCGTAAGACTTCATTTCAACGCAAAAAAAAA